AACGGCGAAAAAGTCGTGTGCGCGAAGTCTATCGGCCGCTTGCCCAATCATCGCTCGCCGGCAAATTAATTTCCATTCGCTCGGCAATGTATCTGCGCTAATGGGATGAAAATGCGACGAAACGCAGTCGAGGTTGGACGTGTCCCCATCCTCTCGACAAGCGAGAAGAGTCACCGTCGGCTTAGCCGACCTTAGTGCGCCGTCTCCCCCCCCCCCCCCCCCCCCCTCACCGCTCACCACTCACCACTCACCCCTCATCCCTCACCCCTCACCCCTCACCCCTCACCGCCGTCCCACACCGACCACCACCATCCACCCTTCTTCAACAGTGCGTCGCTCGTGGATGGGCTTGGATTTCGGCGGTCGGTGGGTCGAGGGAAGACGTCGCCACCGCCGATGCCGATTTCACCGGCGCCCGCGTCCACGTCCGCGAGGCGCTAAGAGATGCGCGCCGGTGCGAGTCCTTGATTTCGAATTCGGTTAAGTGCTGCGCCGGGAGCAGCTGCAGCGCGTTCCCGATATTATTCGCCAGCGCGGGTGAAAGTCAAGCTAATTACGGGCAGCTCTCCGCGCCGTTGTTGCAAAATTCTGCAGCTGCGACGCCCGGAACTGGATTACGCGAGCCGGCCGAAGATGTATGGCGGCGCGGCTGTGGCGCAAGGGACGCAATGCGTAGTGCGCGGCCGACCGGGTTATTGGGTAGATCCGCCGCGTGCCGCAACGGCAACGAGCCTGGGAACGAGGAGGCTAGTTTGCTCGTCTAACGAGGCCGGACTTTTCAGCGTTGCGTCCTCGCCTCCTTTTTCAGGCCGGCCTGATTTTGCTCCTCTCTCTCTCTCTCTCTCTCTCTCTCACACACACACACACACACACACAAACACACGCGCGCAGACACACACGCACACACACACACACACACACACATACTATCTCTCGCTCTCTATCCATCTATCTATCAATCTACTTAGCTCTCTCTCTCTATCCATCTATCTATCAATCTACTTAGCTCTCTCTCTCTATCTCTCTCTATCTCTCTCTCTCTCTCTCTCTCTCTCTCTCTCTCTCACACACTCTCTCTCTATCTATCTATCTATCTATCTATCTATCTCTTGCCCTCCGGAGTGAACCTCGATCCCTTTTACTTTCGCGTCGTATTTCAACTCTGCGACTCTTTCTTCACCGAATTTGATAAACGACGCGACCGAGTCCGATTATCGCAAGCGACCACTCCTCATATCTCGGACTGATCGTGGCGTTATTGTCTCGATTAAGTCACCCCTCTCCCCACTTACTCCATTGTCCCACCACCCCCCTCGCCCCCGCCCATGGATAATGCTCGCGCGTTCTTACGTAATGGTCGGGGGTGAAAATTGTAATGCCAAGGCGATTCTGCAATGTTTATTACCATCTTCTTGGTTATAAATAATTTATTCCTCGCTTATATTACAAATACGTCAACAATAAATAATCGGCAGCTCGTTTACTCCTCGTTTACTCCTCCTTCCGCTTCTTCGGGCTCGCGAAGGCGTAGCTCAGCTGATCCTTCCGCATCTCGAACTCCCTCTGCAGGGTCCTGAGACGCTCGCTCGCCTTCGTCGCGCTCTCCTTGTCGTTCAGGATCGCCTGCACGTCCTTCGAATTGACCTGAAACTTCTTTAGCAGGGCATCCGGGATCTTAAGGCCACGGATGAGCTCCCTGCCGCGTTCCGTAGTCACCTCCTTTTTAGGTTCCTCTTGAACTTGGACTTCGGTCGCGGCCACCTCCTTACCCTTGGGATCATCCGCGGTCCCCCCGACCTTCTCCTTCTTCCGCGGCTCCTCCTCCAACTCCACCTGTGTCTTCTCCTGGTGCTCAGGATCGAGCTGCGAAACCTTCCGCTGGTACTGGTCCAGCGGGTCCTCGGCGAGGGGCTGCGGCGTGGTCGGCCCGGCGGGTCCTTGAACGTGCACGCTGTAGGCGGCGTGAGGGGTCCAGGACTGGATCCAGGCCTCGGAGCGGCTGAATTCGGAATTGGCGGCGACGGGACGGGCTACTGGTTTCGTCGCCTCGAGCCTCGGCCTCTCTGTCAGCACAATTAATCGCTTCATTATTACGTCGCTCGTTCGCGCTCCCCAGCCCTATTCGCGCCTCTCCATTGTCACGTTTTTTGTTTTTTCGCCAACTGCCGTCTGTCGCCATTATTTATGCTAATCGCGAGTTTTAATAGCTCGGCGAAAACGTGGCTTACTCCTTACCTCCTGGCTTTAGCCGGGAATTCGACATTCCACTTGTTACATTATACAATTGCAATTCATAAATATGCCTTGATAAACAAGCTGTTTTTATATTCACGGACACATGGCGCGGAATATTTTGATAACGTTATTGACTGCGTGAAAAACACGTAATATTTGCATAAAAGACAAAGGCTTCAAGTTCAGGTTACCCTTTTCGTCTCATTTCTTTTTCCCTTATTTATCATTTCGTTTATTTATTTGTTTATTCTATTCTGCTTTGATTTTATTTTATTTTATATTATTTTATTGTTTTTGTGTTGTTTTATTTCATCTCCAATCTCACGCTCCGACCAGTTAAACGCTAAAATTTAATATTTCATTTATTTTCCCGTGGTTTCATAAATTTTAATATTAAAATACATTTGAATTTCAAGTAATTTTTCTTAACTCGAATCAAGGCGAACTGGATTCCTTATTCGGGAATAGCGTTATTACACACGATTCGTCATAATTCACAACGGATATTTCATAAAATATTACGAGGATGATGATTTTATTTCGCATTCAAAATTAAAAAGATTGATAAGCAATTTTATCTACGAGACTACATTCCCCAATGTATTTATTTCTCATATGAATCGAGAACTAGTGCTCACTTTCTAAAACGTATTTTATTTCTGTTTCATAAATTAAATAAATATCCATAAAAATTTTAATTGAATGGTCTAAAAGAGCATCGTCGGTTTCACTTTTACGGAATGCTCGCCTTTATGCATCAATTCGCCCCACCTCCGCAACCCCACCCCATCCCACTACAGCATAGCATCGCGATACACATTACTTTTCCTTTGCATACGCATTGTAATAGAAGCAGGGGATATTAATTACGCGGTAATAAGATAAGTATAGCGCGTGCTCTTCCGGGTTATGAATGTATCGTCGGATTGGCATGAAAAATGTTTATCTTACCTGCTAGCGGCTGTGTTAGCTCGTTCGCGTGATTGAGCGGAAGAGCCGGAACTCTAGGCTCCACTTTCTGAGGTAGTTGCGCCACCGGCTCCTTGCTCGGGAACAATAGAGCCTGCTGTTTGATGTCTTGACTCCTGGCTGGCAAAAAGACAGCAGCGTAAGAGCCTTGAGTTTCCGGTAGATAGATCGTCAGGACTTCGTCTTCCTTATCTCTTGATACGGCCTTTTGACCGACGCTGAAAAGCGACGAGATGAGGCCCGATGTCTTGTCCTTGATGTCGTTGACCTTGTCAGCCGGTGCACCCCAAATCTTCCACCAGAGGTGCTTAAAGAAACCGGGATGATTTTCTTCCTCCTTCTTGATAGTGTCGGCGATAAAGTCGCTGATTTTATCCTCATCGGGCTTTGGATCGGGTAAGAGGGAAGCCAGTCCGCCCAAATCATCCAGGAAACTCAGATCTATGGGCGCCGATGTGGAGGTGGAACTTACAGCTTTCACTACTGGGGCAGTGATCGATGGCTCCTGAATGGAAGAGTCAGACTTGATAACCTGTGTCTCGATGTGAACGGGCTTCACGTCGACACCCTCGTACTTGTGGACCTTCCAAAGCGGATGGCCGCTCAGATCCAGGGACTTCTCCAAGCCCGCCTTCTTAAGGATGAGCTTATTTTCCTCGGATATGAGATCCTCGGCTCGCAGTTCGGTGGATGAAAACGGCCAGATGCTGCGGGAACGACGGTCACTCTCCGCAGGTGAAGCCTCTATGATTTTGAGAAACATTGCGCACACCAACGACAGATATATTGCCTAAAAGAGATTTTCATGTTAACTGAATGTTACATTAATGGTCTTCCTTTTTTTCTTTATATTTTTCTTTCATTCTTTACACGCAGGTTTATATAATTAAAAAAATATTTTACACTTCTTGTGTGTCGGATCCATATAATATTATAAAAAAAAAAATTTCTCATAACGTTTAAACGTAAAAAATATTGGCAATAAAACACATTTTCAAAATTGGTTAGTTTTAAGTATATCCTTCGCTCCTCTTACGAAAAATACAAAATGATTATGTCCTATTGAATTTATATGACTTTTTTTCTCATAAGCCACTTCATAAATTACATTAATGCTCTTAATTAATTTTATTTATTTAATGGAAGATAAACAATAAATTTATTGAAAGGTAGAATTGACTTTCGCACGATAATTCACTGTTTCTCATAAACCTTTGCTTATGATTATGTGGAAAAGCTATTAATCTTCGTAAGATATAATAATGTAGTGTAGACATAAAATTAAAAGTATTTGCTACGCAATGAATAGGTGTGTGTATTGATTTTTCAATATTAAAAATAAATTTATATTTTTCAAGAAACAATAATTTATACGTACAATGAACTGAGCTCTATTTATTCTATTTATTTTTTTTTTTTTTTTTTTTTTTTTTTTTTTTTTTTTGTAAGAATCTCGCTACTGTAGAGATGCTTATGAGCTCTACATTTTTATCGATATACAGATCGTCGGTACAAACATTTATCGTTACGATTTACGGTTCGTTATCGTAATGTGTAATATCTAATGTGGATCATGATTTTACGATATGCACACTTTATGAAAAAAATAATGTATCAATTTTACTCTATTTTTTTTTCTTTCTTACAAATACATCAATAATAGGCAGTGCTTGTCGACCTCCAATAACATATTTTATAATTTAAAACGTTAATACTTATCTCACTATCCTTATAAAATATACAAATAATAGCTATTTCGAGCTTGAAGTGACTAAGGAGTAAATTATTTTTTAACCAAATATTTTCTCTCAAGATTATATAATATTAAAGGCTTTGATTTGCTCAACCTATTTGACGATCATATTCATTTTCCATGAAATTTATTGGTAGACTGGCAATTAATTATACACGAGGATTTTCTCATATCAATGGTAGAATCATAAAATTCAATTTACGGATACCAGTAGCGTGCATACAGCGAATTTGAATATTTTCAACAAAATTTGATACAAATGAGTCAAACCGCTAATTAACTAAGCAACGACAAAGAAACATCAACATCATTGCTTATAAATGAATTATAAATCATCGCCATATAATAAAATAGTACTCACGTATCTTAACATTTTCTCTCGGGAAATTGATAAATAAACCCCTAAGACAAGCGACACTGGCTGTGAAGCCTTTGACATTAAACTAATACGCATTGCCTAAAGTTTGACTTTAAATAGGAGTAGTTTTCTAAAAAGGATATGCCGTTATTTAGATATTATTAGAAATTCAAATATATCGCCGAAATTCCATTCTAGTGCTCGCAAATGACATATACAATTATCTTATCGAGAAAGCGCAAATACGATACTAAGAATTTTCAGCTTTCACGCACTTTGGGTCAAAATTGACAGTAATAATTCATGTTATTCATCTTCACGAGGACTTCATTTCTACACAACATTATGATATTTTAAATGAAATAATAATTTTGTATTCGATAGCACTGCATGTTACGAGTTAATCAACAGTGTTATCAATTTGATTATTTTAGTTCTTTTTTCTTTCTTTTTTTGATCTTAATGAATCGAGCATTGAATGCAATTTATACGAGCGAGAGTTAATATTCTCTTTAAATTTTATTATACTGAGACGAAAAAAATTAACTTTACTCTCATCTCACTCGTATACTTTAAATTTCCTTCGATAAATATATATATATACAAGCCTTCGGTGGTGTGCGTGGAAATTGTAGGAGGTAGAGAAATGATATGTTACCGGGCCACCTGAATCCTTCTTGAGAGCCGTATAGACTTGCAAAATTAATTAATGTAGTCATAAATAATTACTACATTTGGGCTCGAGTCCGTACAAGATCATCATCATGTTAGCAATTAACATAAATTTATGAGAGACAAGCATCCTTTTCATTAATTTTCAATAAATTCATTAGTAGAGTGGAGTGTATTTTCACTTGAATAATTACACTCGACAAACGAAAAAAAAAAAAAAAAAAAAAAATCTACTTTCGTGGATTAAAAATATTTGCAATATCTATAATTAAAAATGCCTTTAAAACTATTACATATAAATACTAATTATCAAATAACATTGTAATTTATACAAGGGACTAAGGAATAAAATTTTTATTTTATATCAGTTTGTAATATGCAAATTATTTAAAATTTTAACATTATTTTAAAACGAGGCATTTTATTACTCGAATGATACGTCGAGAATTTATTAACTCGAATTTTTAAACTCTTATAACACTAGCGTAAAAGTTTTTTAAAACTAATTTAATAATAATTGTGTTTCTACTATTATGTCTAACATCTTTAGAATGCGAATGGAATATTTATTGTCAAATTCGAAATAAATATTGATACATCATATTTATTCAAGATTTAATCGCAGTTAAATGCCAGTGTACAATATAAATATTCAAAAAGAATTTGTATCAATGTACACGTAATACTATATCGTTTCCTGAAGTAATGAAATACGATTTCTCAAGATTGCTGAAATACCGGATCGATGTAACGGTCAAGTTCACAAAGTTTACTGAAACGTCATAAATAAATGAACTGTACGTTATTATTTGGAAAAGTTTCAGCTTTATTCAATTGTATTTTCAGCATATTTTTGCATAAAAATAATTATTTAATATCATAATAGGTATAATTGCCAATGCCCATTCATAATTAGTCAATACAATTATTTCAAACGTAGTTTCACGCTCTTTATTGTATTTGGTAAGCTAAATGTTAGTTAAGCTGAAGAAATTTATCTTCAATTATTGAATAATTGCTGCTCTCCAATCTTGTTCGAATAAGCTTTGATAACATTCATCAATTTATATAATACGCACTTGAATTTATTGATTAAATTAATATAACATTACTTATCATAAGTACGTAATTATGTCCTACGTAATGCTATTTATCATAATTAATACTTAAATTGCACTGTTGGTCATATAGTGATGATTAATTTTATTTGAATGATTGACACAAGTTTTTTTATAAGTGAGATAAATGCCAATGCCAAAAAAGTACACTACATTATTAAATTACTAAACAAAAATTAATTGTAAATCATTATTAATGTACGTTAATATATATTTTTTTTTTCGTTTTTGTTGTTGTTGTTGTTGTTGATATTTTATAATTTATTGAATTTATCTACGTATCTTTCATTTAAGATAATTGTTTATTGTATAGCCAATTAAACATATCGACGCGTCTTATTTTATATAATTTATAATTATAAGATATATATGAGCTGCTGTTGATAATACATTTTTCCAATCGTGGTAAGTGATAAATTTGTCGGTATTACCAACCGAGCAGTGGTGCATATCGATGCTGCAGAATGCTTTTTCCAGATCATTCTTTAATCGGGCGTAAGATGACGCGATTTTGTTATCCGACGCTCTCGTATTATATTATTTGAAAGGTAAAATATTTCATGGAATTAAACAGTAGGCGGAAGAAAAATGTTAACCCAATTTGTTTATGAATAATGAATCTCGTATATTTTCCTTTTCTCTATATGACTATTACCATAATTCTCATTGCAAAATCTTACGTCACCTATAAAATATGTTAATAAATAATTTATTACTGTACATATATTTTACGATATCACGACTGAATACGAATTAAATTTATTATTCGCAATATGTTTTGAAAAATTTTTCAACTATGGAAATCAAATTGAAGAAAATGAACGAATATGCATGAAGAAGAAATTTTCAATGTTCTACCTTTTGTTTTTATTTTTGTTTTATTTGAGTATGTTGTCAAATATACATAAATCGACAAAAATTGACAAATTATTGCCCTCGTTAGAATATAATTAATTATATAAATATATGAATCTTTACCCGCGCAATCACAAATATAATTTTGTTTATATACATATTTATGGTGACTTTACCATACAAAAATTTCTACTTTAAAAACAACACTTTGATATACATTTTTCCTGCAAAACATTAGTATTATTAATAATACATATTGCAAAATAGAAATATTTCAATTTAGAATATCGTTACAATACAATTTATTATTTTTTTTTATTTATTTATTTATTTATTTATTTATTTTTTTTTTTTATTAGAAAGATAACTATTTAAATAAATTAATAGATATTATTTTAATTGTCAAGAATTTCTAATAGCTTGCATGATTAACATGAAATTCAATATTTTCATTGAAAATATATATTTATTGAACTGAAATGTCGATTACAAAATGAAAATCTATTTTAAAGTGCATAATTTAATATATTATTAAATCTTCATTACTTATGTATGATTTTTAAAAGAAACTATATCATAGTATTTTCCCATAGGTATATTTAGAATTTATATAAATAATCTTACAGCTGAGTGAAAATAATATTAAAGAATTTTATGCAATTACCATTAGGAAATTTGTTTTGTACATTATAATGCAATTGCAACTATTATTTCCCACTTGTCATCATTATAATAATTCTTATTATAAAATTTATATATTAATTAGAAGCTAGTTAATAGTCACGAAAGCTATGTAAATATAATGTTCTTATATCTCGGTTCTTGGAATTCCAAAATTAAATGCCACCAATCATTGGCTGAATTACCGAAGGTAGAAACTACATTTAAGTACGAACTACTTAATGCTGGCTACAATTTACTTATAAATACCAGAATGAATTCTGCACGTTATTTTACGCTTCACAATGGCTTATCGGTCTTAATTTGCACATTTCTATGTAACAAATTTTACTTACAATTAAGTTAAATTTTTAATGATAATGACGAATAATAATGATCTTTAAAATAACACTCTAACAACTATTGGAGTAAGTAACTGATGCAAGATCATGGAAAATGAATGAAATTTGATTTGAAAGATATGGAAGAGCATCGGTAAGAATATCACAATGATATAATAATAATAATTGTTGATATATTTCTTGAATGAAAATAAGAAGATAGATGAATTATTAGGGTATTAAACGAATTGATCTTAAGGTCAAGAATTAATAGCTCGTAATAAATGTGTCGTAATTGAAAAGAAAAGAAATGAAAAGAATGAAAGAATGAAAAAAAGATGGAATATAAATCTTTTCGTTATAATAAGAATTACAGTTTATATGTACTATAAGAGTACATTAATCAAGTGTATCACTTTCAGAATATGAAAAGCATAATAATGAAAGGAAAGAAATAATATCGACAAAATGTAAAATTCTTGTTTAAAATAAAGCTTCAAAATAAATAGACAATGAACGAATTTTCTATATAATTCAATGAGAAATTGAAAAATATTAACTTCTTTATTGTCAACCTTCGGCATAATATATAAGCGCGATTATGTCGTCGTCTGTAGATCTCGGTGAAAATGATATGTGACGCATATTTTATGAAGTATTCAGAGGAGTCAAACAACCTACTTAAAAAGTACATTCTTCAGTCGAACACCTGTGCCACCAATGATTCTCATAACATCGCATAAATATCCCTCAATTCGTTATTAAATATGAATTATTAGTGCCGTGAAAGTAATGAAATGCTCGTATATTAATTTTGCTTTTTTAATATGATTTTATAGGCAAAAATACAAAAAAAAAAAAAAAAAAAAAAATAAATAAATCATCTCCAGCTTATAGCCTATAATATTTACATTATACGCGTCTTTAACTTTTAATAATTTTCAACTCTTCCATCTCGACAAGGGAAGTAAATAAAAGCGTTGTGCCGCCAGTTTTAACTGTGAGAACGGCCTCGTTGCCACCAAAAAACCATTTGCTGAATAGGAGATTCGTCAGGGCAGATGAACTAGTTCACCTACTCGCTATGTGCTCGTTACCTTCATTTATGTTGCAATGACATAAGGTGCGTTACATCTTAATGTCATTTCATGTAATTTCGACAGAAAAGTGAAAACGCGAAAACACGGGGAAAGAAGGAAGGAAGGAAGGAAGGAAGGAAGGAAGGAAGGAAGGAAGGAAGGAAGGAAGGAAGGAAGGAAGGAAGGAAGGAAGGAAGGAAGGAAGGAAGGAAGGAAGGAAGGAAGGAAGGAAGGAAGGAAGGAAGGAAGGAAGGAAGGAAGGAAGGAAGGAAGGAAGGAAGGAAGGAAGGAAGGAAGGAAGGAAGGAAGGAAGGAAGGAAGGAAGGAAGGAAGGATCGTGACAGAGGCCGAAGATGGCTGACGT